AGAGACAAAAAAAGTATATTCTGTCATGCGACAATTGGTGGGTAATGCAAAATGACTGGTACATCTGAATAAGACCTTTTTGCATCTATTATGTCATTATCTATTTATAATTAACAATACATGTTTACATTCCTTTCAGTTTACATTTAATATATAACCAAAGCTTTATGGTGTGCTATTCAGTAAAAGTAATTGCAAATGTATATTAAAACTGTAACGGAATAACAGGATTACTCACCACAGGGGAGGGGGGTCCTCTTTCCTTCCAAGAGTCTCTGTCTCCCCTCAGCACAACTGAGCAGATCAGGTTTTATATTAAACTATTACCCTGCTGCCTCCTAAGCCAACCACTTCCCATCTCCAAATGGGGGGGGAAATGCTCCATAGACTAGTCATACAAAGGGGACCGTAGAAAACCAGATACATTACTCTCCTCCCATGGACACAAAATATTCCTATGTGACAGGATGGTGAGCAGAGAGGCTTTGGATGAGAGCAGTTTAGAAACAAACCTCGAAAAGCCCAAAAAGCGCTTCAAAAGGAAGTATTTTAAAAGTTTTCCTAGAAGGAAAAAGAAACAGAGACATGACTGCATTGATGGAGATAGGAGTGTTAAAAAATAATGACTTCCTCTGGTTTGTTTTTTTTTAGCACAAGAAACATTTTGGAAGTGGCATAACGATAATAAATATTATGGATTTTTTTTTGTTGGATTATGACAGCATACAGCTTTTGAAAAATAATGCTATTTATGAGTTTGATTATGCCTGCCAAGAGAAATCAAATCCTTTTCCTTAAAAATATTAAAAGATTTTTTTTTCTAGGAAAGGTGAAAGTGTTACTTTATTTGTGATGAGTTGGCATAGTATAGCTTTGTAAATTCTTCTAAACTGAAGAGATGGAATTAAACTTCAGTTGAGCTACAGGATTAAAGAGAGATTGTAATACATGCTGCCTGAGCTGTAATTAAGTATTCTGAAGCAAGAAAATTTCAGAGAAAAAGAAACGTTGAAAGATGCAACACATAATTTACAGTAATAATAGAACTAGCATTTATGACCAGATCTAGAATAGACTGAGACCTTCAGTGATGATAACCTGTACATTGAATTCTATTTGTTTTTTGCTAGAATACTTATAACCAATCCAATTTAAAACCGAGCAAATCATAAAACAGTAAATACAATGGAAAAATACTATAATTAGACTGTGAAAATGTGCAATTTAAATAAGGAATGTTTTAATATGATTTATTTCTACTATAAAAATGTCACAATCTAAGTGCAAATTTAACTAGAAGTTAATAGAACGCATGGCAATGAATATTTCTGTAATCCAGCAATTTGTTTTTCCATGCTACCCAAATCCATTCATCCGGACTATAGCTTTTCTTTCGGAAACTAGCATTGCATCTGTGTGTACTTGAATTACTCACTGACTTTTAGATTCCAAAAAGATGTATGAAAATCTTTAGAGGATAAACTGTGTAATTATGCTAGTAAATATTCTGACATGGCCAACCACTACTTTCTCCTTTTGCACAGAAGAAAAAGTAAACATTTGTTTTCATAATCAGTGTAGCCAGCAGTGGGAATTGGAATATAGGTGATATCTTCAGACATATATATTGTAAAGATCGGTATAAATGCTTAAACTGACAAACACTGAATATAGAATTGAAACAGGAATAACCTTTCTAGAAGAGGGAAGTGTCCAAAGAAAGATTAGGCAGGCATGTATGCATCTTCCAATACTATAAGATACACTTTATAGCTTCCTAGCATGCTTTGGATTATGACATCAGAAACATTACAGCTCTAGCATGTGTGCTTTTGTTCTAATTGGGGAAAATTATTTGAAATTACTTGAATTTGTCTATTTCAATTATTTCCCACTTTTGCCTTTTGTCCAAAGTAATGTCCAAGTGCACCGAATTATCATGAAATGTGTGAAACCTAACTGAATAGTACTTTTTGTTTTAAGAGATGCCCATATAAATAGTTTTGAACAAATTACAAATGTTATTCATACTTAAGACAGAAGGAAAAATAAATATATATATATATTATATTTATATATATATTTTTAAAAGCTGAACAAATTTCAAGCAGCCAGATAGTGACGTTGCAGTGGTAGAAACTGGGAACAAAGCTTGCAGACCTCCTTAGGTGCAAATGCTGATAGAAGACTTCTGCAAAACATATCTTGGCAAGTTGGCTGACACTCACTATGGTACATTTATGTTAATGGCAGACAGAGAGTGATTGGTTTCAAGTCTGAGGCCACACACATTCCATTCTTCCAAAGAAAGTTCCCACAGAAAATCAGAAACAGCCAATGTGCCAACTGGTCAGTATTCTTCCTGCTGCTGGGGCTGTTCATGAACCTGTTCTTCACCTTCATGTTCTTCTGTGTGGCTCTCCTATATAAGGTAGAAAACAAGAAAAACAAACTAACTAACTAACTTGATCAAATACTAAAAGCAAAATTCTGTCTGCTTAGCTTTCTAAAGAAATGTTAGCGAGTTCAACATTTCTTAATCTTTACCACATAGATAGTTAAAATCATTAGGAGTCTTATACACATTCCCTAATTACTCACATTTTTATTTTAATTTAAAGCTAGGATTATGTGTGAAGGAGAGAAGAGAGTGAGAGAGCTTGAAACCTGTGTATAGGGAAACTGATTTCAAATGTGAATATGATTCACTGGGAATCATGGAATGGCAAGCTTTTCTCTATCTGAATTTTGGATCTAATCAGTATCAACTCCCCCAGAATATTCATAATTCTTTTATGGATTATAATTTCTGCAAAGAAATTCTTAGTTGAAACCATTTTGTGGAATAACTAGCATAGAGAGGCAACATTGGAAGACCTTGAATATGAATGTTATCCAGTTCTATTAAAACTACATTATTTATGCTATTGTGTAGAGGATAAAATAGATGATGAAGACTTACATGTTCTTCTGAAGCATACAGAACTTCCATTAACCGTTGAACAAGATCATTGTTTTCTTCTCCGTGTTCTTGACATAGAAGCTCAATCTCCCTTAATTTCCCAAAATAGAAATCTCTCTCCTTTTCCACACCTTCAAGTGCAAGTTTTAATGAATGTACCTGTGAAAATAAAACATTTAGGTAACTGTATATTTATATAGCAAATCATACAACTGCACAATTGCTAGGAAACAGAATGTTCACATGCATTCAATACAAATTTGTACTATATACTGAAGAATTCAATTCATTTTTTTGTTCTAACTTTGATGTTTGTTCATAATACATTCACAGGTATGTATCTGGTGTCTTGTGCTATTCAGGTAGTTCTCAATTTACAACCATTTGTTTAATGACTGTTCAAAGTTACAAAAGTGCTGAAAAAAATTATGTATGATCAGTCCTCTAACTTAACAATTGCTGCAGCATCCTCATAATCATATGATCAAAATCTGGATGCTTGGAAACCAGCAACATATTTACAATGGTTGCAGAATCCCAGGGTCAGCTGATTGGCATCTGCAACCTTCTCATAGAGCTTATGACAAGCAAAGTCAAAGCCAGAGTTGTTTAATGACCATATGGTTCACTTAACAACCACAGCAAAAGGTCATAAAATTAGCCATAACACACTTAATGATCACACTGCTTAGCAATGAAAAGTTCCAGTCCCAACTGTGGTCACAAATCAAGGATTTTATCTGTGCTCATTAGCAAAAAGGTTATTCCAGTCTAACCTTAAACTAGCAGAACACCCCACCAAATCTGACAGGCAAGCTGCCAGTATATAAAAAGAAAACAAACCCCACTCCCTTCTAATACTGTTACCTAGTTTGGTAATGAAACACCTGCAAGAAAACAACCAAGCTCAAAGAGCACCAAGGATCCTATAAGGGAAAGAACTAATCCCTAGGGCACTCCTTATTGGGTGTCTGGGAACCCAATCTCCCTCCCTCACCCACATACACACACATGCATAATCACTCACAAACTCAACTATTCTACTTCCCAAGTAGAACAATCATAGAACGGGGCCTCTTAATCCTAGTTATAATAGCTGTTTCAGAAGGATACTGCAATACTAAAGTCTCTTGAAAGTTCTAACAGAAGGCTGGGTTTCCACCATTCATGCCTCACTACTAGTTGTAACAATGACCAGTGTGGTTTCCATTGTACCATAGCTTGAATCCTGACTGCCAAGATTCTAGAAAATCTGTTTCTTCCAGAGCCCTATTCACCTCACCAGAGAGCAATTTTCATCTCATCACTTTCTTCACAACCTTTCCCCCCAAATAGATCTTCAGGATCTATTAAGCTAACCTAAACTTGATTTTCTTGCCCCCAGGCATATAAAAGGAAGCAGGAAAGACTAGATTCTTACCTATAAAATATAAAGGCACCTTCTTACTGTAGCTTCTGTGCTAGTTATTTTTCCCATAGACCAGGGGTGTCAAACTTAAGGCCCGCGGGCCAGGTCTGGCCCACAGGGTATTTAGATCTGGCCCGTGGGGCCACCCTGGAAACAGCAAAGGATTAGCCCATGGTGCCTCTGCCAGCAAAAACAGCACTCGGGAGGGCTGCATGTGGCCCTCCCGAGTTCCGTTTTTCCTGGCAGAGGGTTGCAGGAGGCCATTGCAGCTGAAAACAGAGCTCAGGAGCCCATTTTCACTGGCAAAGTGCTCGGGCCACCACAGGCGCCAACACAAGTGATGAGCTGGCCACACCCCCTGGCCACACCTGAAACCAAACACAACCCTGATGTGGCCCTCAATGAAATCGAGTTTGACATCTTTGTCATAGACTTTCTATTCAGAAAACTAGTAGTATAGGATTTTCTTAGGGAAAGGGGGTCAAATGACTATATTTTGGGTTGTTCAACAAGGCCACTCAAATATGTAGACTCTTAAAGGACATTGATTTATGTTACACAATTACTATAATGATGTAATGAGATATCACTTGACTAAATGTTTACAAAGCATTTTTCCTGTTATCATCCCAGGTTCCTCCGCTGGCATAAAAATAACTAAGGTAATTGGTTAAAGATGTAATGATCTTCCAAGTATAGGTCAGCAATAACTAGTGCTTAATTGTTGAAAACTGCTATGGTTATCTTTTTAGAATCATACTAGATTTTACTGCTTTGCTCATATGCACAGTTATTTCCCATTTTGGTAGCCTAAGCATATTACCTGTTCGCTGAGCTGTATGACTTGTGTCTCCAAATCTTTATCAGACTTTGACACTGAACTGCTTGGCGGTGTTTTTTTTGCTGATGATGGACGAGATGATGTGGAGCCAGGTTTTGATGCAGGACTGGATTTGGCAGCACCTGAAAAAATATATTAAAAGTTTTTAAAATATTAGTTAGAACCAAGACTCTTGTCACTTAAGAAACCAACTGTGATGAATTTGGAGAATGAGTATGTAAAGCATTGTATGATTCAGTGGGCAAAGAACTTTAGATATAAAGTAATGCTTGAACAATGGGAGAATATGAGAGAAGGTCTAAAATTCACATTAAATTATAATTTAAAGGAATTTTTTAATAAGATGATGTCTATTTGATATCTAACAGCCGACAAGTTGTCGAGAAAGTATAAAGGTATCACAAATGAATGTGGGAAATGTAAATGTAAAGAAGGAATTTTTTATCATTTATAGTGGACATGTGACAAAGCAAAGAAATATTGGAGAAGGATTCACATCTTAATTCAGAAGATTCTTAAAGTGAATATAAAGATAAAGCCAGAGACTTTTCTTTTAGGCCTAATGGGCAAAGAACTTGAAAAAATAATGGAACTTTAATGTTATATATGTTAACATGTGCATAATTACTTTATGCACTGCCCTAGCAGGCAGATTTTACAAAGATCCCTACCCTACCCCTGAAAAGGTGCAGAGTAAAACTGGCAAAGCACATGGCAAGGACTTGGTCCAGAAGTCATGCCAAGCCTTGGTTGCTAAGTAGGGAGCCGCCAGCCAGCCCTGGTTGCTCCAGATCAAAATCCCCAGCCTGCATCTACCTTGCTTTTGATTGCTTCTCAGGAGGTACCAGAACTAGCAGCATTTTGCAAGATCTTAGCTGGCAGCCACAAAAAAAAAAAAAAAAAGACTAAGCTGCATTTGGTGCACAGAATCCTAGTAGGCAGATTGGGAATACATATGGGAATGTGTGATGAGCTGAGACTGCTGAAGCCAGGAGCCTACGGGTCAGGATGGCACAGGGGAGGGAGCCCAGCAGAAGGCAAAAGATAGCAAAGATCAGCAAAGTCAGCAGAGGTAGCCAGAAGAATGAAGGCTGGCTAAAGAGCAGAGATGGGGTGAAGATAGGCAACTGGGGAGAGTTGAAGTGGAGGCAAGCACAGCAGGGTAGGAGAAATCTGAGATCTTCACCTAACAATGGCATGATCCTGGCCTAACAATCACAACTGGTATTACTGAAACTGCTGTCTCTAAGGGGTGCAGTTCACCTAATAACCACTTCGCTTAGACATTGAAATTCCAGTCCCAATTAGGGGTCCTTCAGGTTATTCGGTGAGGATTATCAGTATTATTTTCCAGTATGTAACTTTTGTTTATCTCTTCTCCCACAGAACTAGAAGAATCTCTTTTCTTGTTCTGAAGTTGCTGAAATGTGGGTATCATTTGTTCAAGAGAATTAAAAAAAAATTGGAATCTAGTAGAGACCTCAGAAATTGTCTACTTACAGTAGATCCAGGACAGTTTATCAATTATATAATAATTTCTAAAGATGTGTGCAAGAGTACTCAAATTGGAAATGCTTCGGTTGCAAAATGCTGTATTCAAGCTTGATTGAAACAGTCCATGTTTTGCTCAAAACAGGACATTCAAACTCAAGACAAGGCATTTTGAATTTGAAACAGCTGAAATTAGAAATGTGTTCCATATGCCTAGTGGCTTTCTTATTATCTGATTCAACATTATTTAGAATGGCCTTTTCTCCATCTTGTGCCTTCAAAATGCAATAATTTTCAATTGTCAGCTATCATAATCAGCTGATAATAAAGGGATGTGGATAACAATTAAATGTTGTAGAAGCCATCTAAGAATGAAAATCATTGTAGGGATTTCATTACATATAAAGACATTCTGTTAAAAAACAATATTGTCAAATGTCAAGACCCTCACTTGACACACCCACAACTGAAGCCCCTATAAACAGAAGAACACTGACACTGACACCTCCTAAACTCCACTGAAGATGTTACCTAGCCTGGTAACAAAACGTTCGATAACCAACCCACAATCTCGGAGAATGAATCTTCACCCTCAAAAAACAATATATCTGCTGACAAATGCTGCAGCTCGCAGAACTGCATTGTTTTAAACAGGCTCTATTATTTTTCTGTAGCTTTTTCTGTTATACAAATAATGCAAATAAATATCAAACGAAAAACCACTAAAGAAAATCTGCATGGCAAATAGTATATGTATATGCATTCCCTTTTTTTGTCTACTGGGCCAGCACTTAGGGTTTGGAAACATTCCAGTTACTATAAACCTAGATTACACCAGCAGGTTCTAGTAAGAGGGAATCTATCAAATAAAGAGGAGATGCCATGCATCCCATTTCTTTAATATGCCCATTAGTAACAGCAGTGGCTAAGAATATGCTCTTCTTTTAAGGATGGAGGATTTCAGGAGATTTATAACCAAAGATTTAATACGCTAATGAAACCAACCCCCAGCCTGCAAAAGGCCAAAATATTTACAACAGATTATTAGATTTAGATATAATGTTCTTATATATTGCTCTTTTGTGACATATACATGCAAATAATTCAGTAGAAATTATAACATAAAATATAACAGCCCTATCCTCATCATTTCAGCATGTGGGTACAAGCTAGTAGAAAATCTAGGATTCCTAAAATATCACAGTCTACAGCTGTTACATTAGCAACATATATATGAGCCACAATTACATACAGAAGTGCACTTGTTTACATGTGTATGCTGAAGGAAGATGGAAATCAAGTTTTGGCAAGAGGAAAGCCTAACACAACTCATCGTAAAAGAGAATATCATTGAGATAAATTTACTCTTCTTGCCAAAGAGACAGTTGTATATAAACTCTATTTGGGAACTGTACTATCACATTTTACATATTTCTAGAGGACATCACAGTCCCCATAAATCACAGTATGTTATATGATGTGGTGTGGAAAAAAAGCCATTGTCCTTTAAAATTAGTAATGAAGTTGTATTTTTAACATATTATTCAAAAATTACAACTGTAAATAGCAATAGTTCACAATTGTGGATAAATACCTGCTGTAGGAGAGTTTGCATGATGAGATTTTTTTGGCAGATTAAAGATCTGTTCCCCAGGATCAGGTGGTGGAATTGCATCTTGTCCTTGCCGAGCCTCTACTGGATCATATTCTTTCCCATCATAGTTAGCATCAAAAAATTTCTTAAACCACTGTATGAAATCAAGGTTATCTTGGAAACGTCCCTTTACTAATTTCTCCACTGGAATGACCTATATGACAAAACAAGGCAGATCAGTGATTTAAAAGGCCAACAGAAGAATTTAAATAAAAAATAATGTTTCCAAATACTAATAACAATAGTGTAATACCAAATAGTAAATTTAATAACAAATATTGCTATACAAAATTGTGTTCCTCCTCCCAAAATTGTAATCCTTGTTGATATATCATCTACATAATTTCAATAAGAAATGTAATATATTGCATGTTCCAAGTGCTTTTTAAAACACTAGAGAACAATTCCCTTTTGAGCGTATCTATTTATAGGGCTATCTAGCCAATAAAATATTAGATTTATTTTAGCTACTATAAAAGGAGCCATCACATACCATTCATAAATTTCAAACATCCTTTTTCTATTAAATAGATAATTGAATAGTATTATAGACAGTTCTGCATAAACTGGAATCTTTACCTTATCCACATTCATTCTTTTAAATGATGCTTGCAGAAGTTTGAAGTTATGAATATACTCATGTTCAAGCTTCGCTTGAAATTTTACTTTCTTCAAACTAATACATCCTGGGAACAACATATCCATGAACTGGCAGTAAGCTGCTCCTAGAACAAGAGAACAGAAGCATATTAGTTGCAGTGCAAGCAAATAAGCTAGCCAAGTGTCACAAGAAACAAAGTAAATAGACTTACTTATCACCCAGCCCAAAAAGGAACAAAAAGACCCAAGCACCTCTCCACCATAAATCAGCAGCCAGATCAGTATAGATTAACTCCAAGGTTAACATCAGACCAACAGTCAAGTAAACAATACCCCAATCAAAAAACTGCTAAAGAAGCCAACAGCAAACAGCCCAATCAAAGAATCTCTAAAACCACCCCCACCAACACTGACAAGCAAGCCACTAAAATATAAACTGACAGCAAAGTGCACTCCTTACTAGCACTGATGATGTTATCTAGTTTGGGTAATGAATCATCTGCAAGAAAACAAGCAATCCAAGGACCCCTCATGTCAATCCTCAATTACAAATATTCTCTTTTATTAGACTTACTTATTCCAGTTGCAACAATAGGATTAAATATTGAACTTCTCTTTTAGTATCAAATGAAAGCAATATGTACATTTAGTTTTAGTATGTGACTGCTTTTTCAAGCACATCTGCAACATTAGAACTGTAACAAATGTTACCAAGAAACATTCCAGTAAATACAGTACAAAAAGTCTCTATAGAATATGCAAGACAAACTAGCATATTGGTCTGATCTTAAAAATTAAAAGTGCTTAACTGATTTTTAAGAACCATTGATTTTCAAAGCATTTACTTTTTAATATTTTATTATTATTTTGCCATCTTTATATACATCGGTATATCCCATCTTTATTATTTTTTATAAACAACTCAAGGTGGTGAACATATCTAATATGACTTCTTCCTCCTATTTTCCTCATAACAACTCTGTGAGGTGAGTTGGGCTTTGAGAAAGTGATAGGCCCAAACTCACCTGGCTGATTTTTTTTGTTTTTGGTGGGATTAGAACTCACGGTCTCCTGGCTTTTTAGCCTGGTACCTTAACCACTAGACCAGGGGTGTCAAACTGCATCAGGGTTGTGTTTGACCTGGGGTGTGTGGCCAGGTGGACATGGCCAGTTCAATATCACTCGTGTCTGGGGCACCTGTGGTGGCCCGGGCAGGTCCTCCCGCCAGCTCCATTTTTGCTGGCAGAGGCACTGTGGGCCGGTCCTTCGCTGTTTCCAGGGTGGCCCCACGTGTCATATCTAAGCACCCATATCTGGCCTGCAGGCCTTGAATTTGGCACCCCTGCACTAGACCAAAATGGCTCTCTATATTCTTAGATTCCTCACCAAAATTGTAAAAATGTTGTATTTTGTTCACAGAATAGTACCTATAGTCCTAGTGACAACTTTAGATAGCTCATAAATTCCTGACATTGTCAAGAAAAAAGAAGCTGTCATAGCCTGAAAACCACAAGAACAATTTCAGAGAAACCAGACAGAATTCATACAAAACTGAGTGGAAGTTTTGTCAGTTTGCAGGAAGATTTCATAAGAGGCAGACTACTAATTAATTCTGACAAGCTAATATGGTGTTCATCCTGAACAGTACCACAAACAATGGCTTATGCTACCTAATTAGTTGACAATGTTAAATTAATCAGCAATGCTATCAATTAATAGTGCTGTGGGCAAGAGCAGCCTAATTTAACAGTAAATCTAGCAAAGATTATAATCCAATTCAATGATGGCAAAGAACCAGATTTCTAATCCAGTAAGTACTGGTGAAATCTTGCACAAATCTACATGCTGTTAAGGGACAGTATCTGTCCTTTACTACAAAAGCTAAATTGATGCTTTGTTCTTTCAGTCAGATTCATTTGCTTTATCAACATTTGGCTTAATAGACCCTAAGATACAATGGAGCATTGTATCTGAAATGATAGGAAAACTATGAATAAAATCACTTTGTTTTCTGATGATGAATTAATATTTAATTTAAATATCTTATAAATGTCCTGAAATGAAAAAAGCAACCTAAACATTAGATTCTCCTCCCAAAGTCTACAACAGAATCCAGAGCAGAAGACTGTTCTGGTCAGTTATTCTCAATGGAAGAATTTATTATTATTTATTTATTTATTATTTATTAATTCAATTTGTATGCCATCCCTCTCCGAAGACTCAGGGCAGCTCACAATGCATTTAAAATCATTATAAAAAACATTTAAAAATTAAAAACATTAAAAACATTAAAACTCATTCACACCATTCATGGCCGGATCTCGCCGGATCGCAAAAGTGAGATCAACGGCCCTAGGCCTGCCGGAAAAGCCAGGTCTTCACTGCTTTTCGGAAAGCCAATAGGGTGGGGATGGTCCAGACCTCAGGAGGTAACTGGTTCCAGAGAGCTGGGGCAGCCACAGAGAAGGCCCTCCCCTGTGGGCCCGCCAGCCGGCATTGTTTAGCTGACGGGACCCAGAGGAGACCAACTCTGTGGGATCTTACCGGTCATTGGGAGTTATGTGGTAGAAGGCGGTCTCGAAGATATATAATTATCAGATATACTATACATGAACTGGTATTATCAGTGGAACATCTTGTCAACATCAATAGAACAGCTTGCCTTCCAGAATTGTAGATGTTCCATTGTTGGAAGTTTTCAAGACAAGATTGGATAACCATTTCT